GGAAAAGAGTAGCCCCTCTGCATGGGGCCACAACTAGGATTGCAGGGAGGGGATTAGCTGGCCATTAGTAAAACAAGGAACTACAGAATTCAATGGTTAGGCCGCAACAGAGGTTTAGCTTGCTATTCAAAAAACATGGACTGGATCACAGGCCAGATCTAACCTCTTCAAGGGCCACAAGTTTCTGTCCCCTGCTCGCAAGAATAATCCGTTGCATCTCATAGACAGAGAACAGGAGTTGGACTAAAGCATCTCTTTTAGAAAGATATCTTATCTCATTTTGAAGACTCCAAGCAACAGGAAGTCCCTTGGCTCCTCTGGCAAGCTGTTCCCATGTTTAATTAACCTCACTGCTAAGAAAGTATACCCTGTTATTGGCTCCCAGATGTATTACCTTGCACTTGACTACATTAAAGCACATTTCCTTGGACCATACAATTTAATCAGGTGATGCATACTATTCTGTAGGTTACTCATCCTCATTTATTATCCCACCAATCTCTGTTCTCCATTACGTTTAATATTTTATATCACTGTATTGTTAAAAATATCACCTAGTTGTTAAAATATCTAACATTAAATATTCATAATAGCATTTTAAATATTTGACTTAAAATATTTAAAAGCTCTGAATTAGAAACAGCTGTTTCTTGGTATCATCCTCTTAACAGCTGAATTTTGAGATCTGTATATGAGCCAGTTTTTAATTCATCTAATGTACCCTGTTGATTCTATAGAAAAATGAGTTCTTTTTAAGCAAAGGTGACATGCTGCTAAGTTAAAATGATTTGGAGAAATCCAATTACAGTATATGTATACAGTTTCCCGTGTCAACCAAAGGCTAAGACAGAAGAAAGAAATAAGCAGCTGAAGATCTGATGAACAAGAAATAACTAAGCCTACTTGTGGGAAGTAACGAACAAGACTGAGTTAATGAGATTTGGAGACAAAAGCAGCTAGCGCCCCAGGCTGCTCCAGCAGTTACCTTGTCCTCAATGATGGCTATAATATCCCCAACAGTCTCAAAGTCCAGCTCTTCCCCAGTGTAGGAGACTGCAATGTCCATCTTCTCAGCCAGATCCAGGTCTTCTTTCCCATCCATGCTGTGATCTTTGGAGGGCCCTGCAGCACTGCCAGCCCCAGATGCCAGGCACTCTTTCTTGATCGAATCAATGATCATGGATATTTCGCTGCTGTCCATAGACACTGTCACTGTGTGGGGATCAGACACTGTCTCCATGGAAACACAGGTCTCTGGCTGGCTCACTGGACAAGGACAAGCATGATACCTCAGAGACCAATCGGGTGAAAGCCCACAAGCATTGGGGTCTACCAGCATGGAAAAGATCAGCCATCCAGCTCAAACAGCCCAAGCCCACCCACAACTCTTTGGCCTAGAAGGTTAAAGGCAAACACAGGGGATTGCACTCACCCCCTACGAGAGGAAACTGGGACTTAGGTTTGCCATCAAGATAAGGCACCAAAACATCAGCTGCCCCACCCAGCATACCCTCTTGCATATCCCATTCTTCAGTGCACCCCAGAAGCTTGCCTCAGCCACTGCCTTGGAGTTTATGCCCATGCTCCCTCACCTCGCCTCCCTGTCTGTCAAGCCCAAGGGACGCTCCACTTAGAAATACTACGTGGCCTATGAGGGTGTAGTTCAGGAACGCACCTGTCGCTACACTTTCTGGAGTTGCAGCTGGTGGCACAACAGATGGTGCTGACAGCGTGGGCATCATGACAATGGTTGCCTGGGACACAGCCTCTACAGGGGGCGGCAGCAGTTTAGCTGGAGGTTCACTGGCAACAGCAGAGAAGGAAGCAAGAGGTGTGGTGAACTGTGCAGGACCAGCCTCTAAAAGCCGGGAAAGTGTAGGAGCACCTAACAGAGAGTACAAGAGGGAAAAGCCATGTGAGGAAGAAGCAAAAGCCACAGAGCTCTACAAAGCATCCACTAGGTTCTTTATACACAGATGGCTCTCCCGTAACCCGGGCACTACAAATCACCTACAGTACCAAGCAGCCACACTGCGAGTCTGCACCAGACATACAACTCCCTGATTGGACAATCTGATCCAGAACCACGTAGGGATTATAGGGATGCCACGTGCTTAACGTAAGAGGTGCGCCACACCTGCAGGTACAAATGTTTTTCCCATGCTCATCCCCCCAGAATCCTGGGACTCAGTCACTGCTTCCAGCATGAATTTATTAACCACTTGGGCCAAACAGAGATTAGACCTTCATGAGAAGAATGAGAACATCCATACTGAAGAATAAAACATGTACAAAGGGCATAAGCCCTCATGCTGCAGAGGGCATGAGAAAAATCACACCTCATCAACAGAGGGAAAAGCAGAAAACCTCCATTAGGGCAAGCTATTTTATAACTAACTGCCCATGGCAGAAATTCTTGCACCTTCCCAGATCCATTAAAGGAGTACAATGAGCATAAAAGACTACGCTTGGTTTTTTTCCAAGCAGGACTCATTGGAACTGTAAGTGCCATTACAATAGACAACCAGATTTAATGACCAAGGCTTCCAGCATTTCCAAATAGAAAGAATGTGAAAGGAGAGTCTCCACAAGTTACCTGAGGCAGCAGGAGATGCAGGGACAGCACCAGATGCCGACTGCATATCCCCACCATGCAGCACTGGAAGGACACTTCCTACCTCCAGGAGGACGCCGGAGCTGTTCACGTGACCAGAAGCCACTGCTATATCACTTTCGCCAACCTGCCAAAGGAGATGTAGATAAAGCTCCTGGAGATATGGCCACACCAGTGATTCACAGGTAGATATGTCTTCATTAACATGTCTACCAACCCGAGTCTGAGAGCTTCGTTTAATGCTTTTTGCCTCAATGCAGTCCCTGCCTGACATCACAGGAAAACCTCACTAAGTCATCTAATCCAGCCCCCTGCTCGAGGCAGGATCGTCCCTAACTAAATCATTCCAGCAAAGTGCCTGCCCAACCTGCTCTTGGAGATTTCAAGAGATGGAGATTTCACAATTTTTCTGGGGAGCCTGTTCCACTGATTGACCATCCTACTAGTCAGAAAGTTCCTCCTCATCTACAACTTAAATTTCCTCTGTTGTAGCCTGAGCCCACTGCTCCTAATCCTGACTCTATGACCAGAGAGAAAAGCCACTCCACCCCATCCTCTCTAGTTACCCTTCAGGTAGATGAGGACTGTTACCAAAGCCTCCTTTCAGACTTCTCTTCTTCAGACTAAATAACCCTAGCTCTTTTAGCCTTTCCTCATAAGTCATGCTTCCCAAGTCTCTAATCATTATTTCTGCTGTTCTTTGCTGGACTCTCCTATCTGTCTACACCCTTCTTGAAGTCTGAGGCCCAAAACTGGACACAATACTCCACATGAAGCCTCATTAGTACTAAATAGTGCAGAAGAATCACTTCCCCTGATTTGAAAGTGACACTCCTGTTAACAGAACCCGCTATTATGAGATGCCTTATGCCTGCACCCAACATGGTGAAGCAATTGCTGAGCTTCATCTGAAATACAGCTGCCATATGACCATTTCCTCTGGAGTAAGACTAAATGCATAAATTGGCTTTGCTTCACTCCGATGCCTTTATCCACACACCAGAACATGATTTCCAGGTGTCAGCATGTTTACACACACAACCTGCCCTGATGGGCAAACCGAAGCGCTGAGAGGAAAAGTCACTTGGTAAGATTGCACAATGAACCACAAAGAGCTAAAAATAGACACAGAATGGCACTGTTAATGCAAGGAAATCCCCATACTTCCCAAACAGCCACAGCCCTAGCCCTGCCACTCTCACATCTTAGTATGGCACTGTACAGGCTCCAAAGCATGAGCTGCCTTTCTGACTGGAGGTGGAACTTGGGAAGCAGTGGGCAAGGCAGTTGCAGCACTAACCTATCTGACAGAGAAGCTGTTCAGACACATCTACGGACACATTTCTTTGGCAGCTAATATTCTCCCAGTTCACCAAAAGCTCCCAGCCTAACTGGCTAAGGTGGACAGTAGTCAGAAATTCCTCAGGATAACATACATTCAACCATAAAAAGTTATGCCAGGGGCCATGGGATATACAGGCCACTAACTGCTGACTCCCGCATTCAGAAGAGGAGTCAAGGTTCTGAAGGGAGTCAACACTCCGTTGGGAGGGAAGGGTCAGTCCATCTAAGACCAGAACTTCCGAGGTTAAACTTCACTAACTTCAGTAGGACTCAAATAGCATTAGCAAAAGTAGTGATTCTAAAAGCTGTCTACTTTAGGGGCATGAGTAATTAGTGTCTAAGTCCAGGAAAATGATGAACCCCTCTGAATCATGATCACATTTTTAAAGTAAGAGGTATTTTGTTTATCTTCCTGATCATAACTTTACTAAAAACTGAAATTCAACATGGAGTTGACATGCAGATAAACTTCAAACCAAAGGAAAATAGCTGCAAAGAAAGTCAAATCTTCACAGGGTCTGCCCAGGGGTCCTGCTCACACCCCCTTCCTAATGCTACCTTACTCACTGGTGGAGTCTGCAACTCCAACTCCTTACAGCTCAAGGGAGCTAATTCATCTTCAGTGTTGCTTGATCACTTCAGCCCTGAATTCCCAGCAGCATGAGAAAAACGGTCCACCTTTGTGGCTTGTAAGGATTAGCATTAGACTTTACTAGATTCTCGTAAGATCTGGGTGGTTTCTAAATATCCTTGCAGAACCCATTTCAGTGCATGTCTGAAGCAGAGATTCATCAGTGTTTTTGTATATGTGAGCTGAGAGCTCCATACCAGCCTGGGGCTTGTGGGCAGGAGACTGCCCTTCTTCAGCAGCTCTGAGAGCAGAGGGGAAGGAGGCGGAGTTGCTTTCTGTCCTAGCATCTTTTTCTGGGGCGAATCATCAGTGACTGGGGTCATGGGGGCATCCAGGGAAGCAGAGCCTGGAGGGGTGTCAGGGATCCCAATGAAGGAGGCAACTGGGGTGCTGGGCAATGTCCCTGGAGTTACCTGAGAAAGAAAAAAACCACACTGTTCAAAGCCAAATCCTTACCATATGGACAATCACACTTAGTTCTTCTCCCATGGCCATTGACCCAGCATACCCCAGGCACCTGCTCCATTCATTCGCTACGTCTCCACCCTTTCATTCCCTGCCCTGCAGGGATACTGCCTCAGTACACAAGACCCTGCCTGCTCCACTGCAGTGAAGTCCTCTGCCCCAGGCACCTGTTCAGCAGACATTCAAGGAAACTTGTACCCTACACATGACAGTGCACACAGGCTACAATATAGCACTAAAGTTGGAAAAACCTGCAAAACAAGCCAAGGGTCCTCCAGAGATGTGCAATGCCTCACATCCCCAGCTGGTTTCCCATGCTCAGCACAGGAAGCATCCTTACCCCAGGGCTGGCCTCTTCCACAGCTGGCTGAGACAAGTCCCCCAGAGCATAGTCCCCTCCTGGGGAGGTTGAACCTGCAGGAGAGCGAACCATCACACCTGTTAACCTTCGTGGCGGGTTCTTAACTGCCTGACGAGCTGGAAAAGAGAACGGAAGGAAAGTGAGACCCCAGGGCTCCAGGCTGGTAAGTTTCAGGGAATTAATTCTGCTTCTGAACACCAAGTTAAGAGGATCTCTATAAAGACGCCTAGTCCTGCTGCTCCTGCACCACAGCAAGGCTGATCCTCCATCCCTACTGAGTAATTGCTAATCCCTACTGAGTAATTGCTAATACCTTGCCTTCAAACCTCTCCACAACCTTCCAGGGCACTGGTTCCATGCTTGAACTGTCCTAAGAGCTATGAAGCAGATTAAATTTGGAGAACTTTTCCCTGTGGGAGATTCAAGCAATAATCTAAATTTTGCCCCCAGTGACTACTAACTCAACCCTGACCCCTCTAACATCTCTTTACAGACTAGTATCTTGCTTCCTTTTTCCTTTCATTCAGAAAGAATAACTCCAACTTTCCACCTTGCCTTGAGACCCATGTGCTAAGACCTTTATTCAGTTCACTCCCTTCTTTAAACTGCCTTCATTTTGTCTCCTTGAAAATTGGCACTGAAAACTGAGTGCTCCCCTCTCTATGACACCCTTGTGCCAAGGAGAAGAGACACCCTTGGTCCTTTTGCCTTCAGATTAGATCTGGAATCAGCTTTAAATTTGTCCCAAATGTTTTTTCTCAGTAGCGGCTCCTGTGTGGGGAGGAACAAGCAAGCGAAGTCCCACCTTACCCTGATAAGCAGCATCAGTAGCCTTCTTCTTCACCTCTGCCTCCTCCTCTTCCATTTTTTTCTTCCTGCACAAAGAAACAGGGTCCATGGTCACACAAATCCACCTGGTGCCACCCCATAAGCAGCAGGTCAAACACCCACAGCCTTGATCTGTCTTTGCTAGCTAAGGTTCAATTAAGGGCATTGCATCCATCCAGCTTAGTTGCTTTTCTTAGGCCTTGCAACAGAGTGGCAAGAGAGAGAAGACTAATTCTCAGAGCCCTTGGGCATGGCTAGCTCATGGGAAAGTGCAATAAAAAAATAGTAAGATAACAACATACATCATAATCTCGTTGCACAGGTCCTCCAGCCTGTTATCCATGTGCCCAGTCTGAATCAGCTCTGCATCTTTCTTCAGTTGCCTACAAATAGACAGAACTACCTCAGCTATTTTACAACTGAGTAACTGCTCCAAAGAGGTAGTTAACCCCATTAGTCTGAAGATAGGCAGAAGGCATGGCAGGGTGGTACCCTGGAAATTAAAAAGAGTCTTTAAGGTGTCACTTGACCCTACACCTTCTGCACAGCCGCTCCAAGCGAGCCTCCTGTTCCCTACAATTTTCCCTGCCAGACCACCTCCTTCAGAGCAGCGAGTGTTACACAGACTTGCAGACAATACCTACCTGTACTTCTCCTGTGTCTCCTTTATCATTTTCTTCAACTCCTCAACTCTTTCTGCTGTCAGTTTCCTCACAATGACATCTTCCACCGTTTCCACCACCTCCCCCTTCTCACCGCGCTTTCTCCTACAGAACAAGGGCCAGAAAACAAACATAGGCACCAATCACAGCAACCTCCCCAGTCCTCCTGAAAACAGCACCAGCTGCCCTGGCATCTGTCACATCTGTATCTTCTCCCCCCTCACCTTTTCCCAGCACTAATACTGGAACTCACATTGCAAAAATCACTTCCTCTTGAAAAGTCTGCCTAGCCAGATTCCTTTCTGATAGCAGTTTAGGTGGTGTGAAAAAACCCATAACAGACAATTCTACACTAACTTTTTCACAGAGCAAATGCCTTTCTCTACTCATACGAAACACGTGTGGTTACTGACCTAGGCCAGGAGTGTTTGCATTCCTGTCAAATTTTTACCCTCGTTAACTCAACTTTGGAAAAAGACTTTTACTATCCATGCCTACGTATAATCCATCTCAGAAGCCCATGTCAGTCATTTATGCACAGCAGAGACATAAATACTACTTTCAAACACTACAAATTTCCTTAGGCATCAATTACCAACACCGGTGCCCAGATTCAGAGCAAGAGATGAACACTATAGCTTCCACTGGTACAAAGCTAGTGTCCAGGAGAAGAATAGGGTTTCATTTGCCCCTCCCTAAACAATCCTCAAATACTGCAGGTACATAAAAAGCAACATAAAATATTGGCTCTCCTGCTCATCATTCTTACTAGCTTCTATTCTCCCAAATTTTCAGTATTCTGAGCTGTAATTTTAAGCACACAATTTTTGGTTTATAAGTTTAATTCGTTCATTTTAAGATTTGCTGTATAAAAAAGAACAAAGCTATTTTAGTATGCAATCTATGTCCTTTTAAAAATAAGCTATTTTTAATAAAGCAGCATTTTTATAGAAATTACCACACACTATGTTGCCTCTCTAGCTTCCTCAAACCAGCAAGCTGAGAGCTGTGCTGGGAACTGCGGCCTAGATGCCTCAATACCTGTAACCCACTGGTTCAGCAATGAGTGCAGGAGTGGTGTGAATGAGCACTCAGGATAGCACAATGACCAGTTCTAGAACCACTTACATTTGAAATGGTCCAGTCCTTTGAGCTAAGTAACAAAACATACAAAAATGAGCAAAACGCTCTAGGTAATATTACCTACCCAGCATCTCCTGTTAGGTTAGGGGGTAATTTCAAACAACAGCCCTACTCTGCTCACTTTCCACACCCCCACAGTGTGACCAGATTTCTCTGCCATGCCTGCGCCTCCTTGCTCAGTAGCAGCAAATGCACTGTCTGATGCACTGATGACACCTCCGCCCCGCCAGAGGTACTGCAGACACCACATGCCTCAGCCTTTGCACTCACTTGGGAGTCTCTGTGGTCTCCAGGAGTTCCGAATACTGAGATGCGCAGTGCTAAGGAGAAACAGAGGGAGTCAGAACACACAGAACGGTCAACGCAGCCAATTCAGTTTATTGGCAAAGCTCTTGGGTTCCCTCCTCTAACAGACAGGTAGCCTTTGAGCATGTTTTCAGAGGGACAGAGCTGCATGAGCTGGAGCTACCTCCATGACCACAAGGGAGCCCAACATAGCAGGGTTTGTTCCCATTCCACACACTGCTCCCACTCGTACTATCCTGTCAGAAAAAACATTTTCAACAAAAATACTAAGTGTCTTAGAGGGAAAATACTGCTACAGTACTAGTATGGGAAGCTGCAGTGACTTCCCAAGCTACTGCGTACCCAATGCATCTATAAGGAGGGTCAGCTAGCAGCATACAGAGTCAGCTCTGTAATGCCAAATAAAAACTAGGAAAGAATAAATTAAATTAAAAAGGTGGCCCCACAAATTAACACGTCCTCCCCTGGTTTTCCAAGATCCTGATCTTTGAACAGTCACACTCCAAAATATCAGTGCTAGTTATAAAACAGGTTGAACGAAACATGATGCTTAAAATTACAAATCTAAACTATGATTTCAAATCAACAACCAAAAATCTTTGATTTAAATAATAAATTATGATCCCATTTTGCATTTATATTGTTTAGCTATTCGCACTGAATGAGCTGAATAAGTGAAATAGAAAAAACACCTCTTTTCATCTGCAGAAGACTTGTGCGACAGTTTGGCTGGTGCTGCAATAGACTCAAGGCCAGGTGCTCAGACAGTGACTTCCACAAATTTAGGGGTGTTGGACATAGCCGCGTTGGTCTAAGGACACTGGGGGTCAAGGCTTGTTGGGTAAATCCAATATCACTCCACCCAGGAAGACCATTGCGGATGCTTCCTCAGCCTGACAAAGGGTGTTTGTGCCCAAAAGCTGGCTTAGAAGAATGTTTCCAACTACTTGAGTTGGTCTAATGAAAGATATCACATTTATCCAAAGAGACTCGTCTTCCACAAATTTAGCAATTTTGCTTTCTTTGAAGTTTGGTAGCATGCGTGTAATGTGTTATCTCTGTCGAATACCCTTTTATCAGATTATATCAAGTTTAGACCATAAAACAATATACTTTGTTTTATTTTCACATATGCTTTCATATAAATTTTAGTTTTAGAGAAAAATGAAGCAAAGCTGTTTGACGTTTAAATTAAAAGTCTTATTTAACATTTTAAGTGGCCGCTTTTCTATCCCTCTACTTGGCCGAAACTGGAGTCCCTTGAGCGAGAGCTCCCCAGCAGCGGGAAGCGCCTCCGCCTCCGCCTTACCTTCTGAGAGAACCAGTCAGGTGGGCGGCCCGGCTCGGCAAAGGGCTTGATGGCCCTGCTGACTGACACCCTGCGGGGGAGAGGAAGCGGGTGAAGCCCTGCCCTCCTGCCCTCGCTCAAGCCACACCGGGCTGCTCC